TCAAAGAATTCATGGAAGAATGGAACAGAGGTATAGGTTTCTTTTGGGCATAAAAAGTTGTGAAATCCATGCGTAGATTTTTTTTATAAAGTGCATTTCCCATGAGCTTTTTGAAGACCTGGCACACGGACCCAGGAGGAGATGGCTTTTGCGTGGTGGAGGAGGAAGACAGGAGGAGGTGGCGAAACTCAGGGGATTTTTATTTTCTCAGTAAATAGTGGACACAGCGGCTGTGGTGGTATGTACTGTGCTGCATGCTGAAAAGCCTCTGCCTGGGTTCACGGGGCCTCACCACCACCACCCCTGGAAGGCAGGGTCATTTGGGTGGTGTAGGAGTTCAGAGCTGGGGATTTGAAATCAGGCCTGCTTGTTGTTTCCAGCTTATTAACTTTGTGAGCCCCCATTTTCTCATTTAGTAGAAATGGCCATGCTTAAAAAGTAACCACCCACTCCAGATGGGCTGTGGTGAGGATTACACGGGAAGCTGCCTGTCCTGTCCCGAGCCTAGTGCCTGTGCTGCCTGGATGCCCCCACAGGGTGGGTTTCTTGTGATCCTGCTCTATTTTGTACCTTAGAAAATGACACTCTGCTGTGTGACATGTTCGTAGAGGAGGCGGGCACTTGGAAAGCGCATTGGGAAACTGGATTGTGGTTTCAGCTTTGCTACTCACCCTTTGTTACCTTTTTTTTGAGGGAGAGTTTTGCTATAGGGAGCGTGTGCTCACCAGAAAGACAGATAAAGAGTGAGAAATCACTCCTTGTGGGGGGATGGCCTTGTCGTAATCCCTTCTCCGTTCCCCTCCTGGGATCTTGGGCACGCATGCACACACGCCTGGCATGAGTCTTAAGCCTTTGGGTCTGGCACTTGAACTGTGGTCAGCCATTCGTGCCCCCCCGTTTTTTTTTTTTTTTTTTAAATTGCCAGATGGCATGTGCTTTTGCCAGAGAGACAGAAAGAGGGAGGGGGAGAGAAAGTACTCCACAATGGGCCATAGTCATGCTATAGTTTCTCCTCCATTTCTCCATCTGGTTTGGATTTCAGGCATACATGCATATTTGCCCAGTGTTGTTTTCAACTGCTGTGGCCAGGACTTGAACCACAGTCGACCATGTGGGATCTGGCTTACTACCTTAAGCACTAAGCTATGGGCCCCAGCCCCCTTTGTGATTTTGAGCAGCTGAAGTCCCTTCCTTTTTCTGGAGCTTGGTCTTCCCATCTCTGCAATGACAAAATCATATCCAAGCCTTCTTTTCATTATGTTGTTTTCATTTTCAGTGGGTCTCTGTGAGGCCCCAGCCTTAATTCTGAGGCTAAGATTGAGTTATCAGAATGGGAAGAAGGAGTGACTGGCAGGTGGTGTCGTGGTTAAGGCACTAGATTCCCACATGGTTGACCTTGGTTCGAGTCCCAGACCTGGCAGCTTGCTTTCTCACTTTCTTTCTCTCTCTCTTTTATTCTGTCCCTCTCTGGTAAAATTAAAGTAAATAAATAAATAAATTTAAATAAAAAATAGTTATTTAAAAAAAAGAATGGGAAGAGGGAGCTGCTTGGGGCTGGAGGTGTGATTGCATCTGACTGGAGCGTACTGGGTGGCAGACAGTCATAGAATTTTAAAAGTGGTTAGGTAAAGCTCAAGTGGAAATTTGGCATGTCCCAGGCAGGAATTTCTGCTTTCATCTGAGAGTTGGGATGTCGCTAAATGTCATTTTTCACACTTCAGTGTTTTCCTGTTGGAAACTTGTCTAAGACCAGTGCCTTTGGCTTTGTCTGCCAGATAATTTTCAGCTATGATTGATCTCGGCTTGAGGTATCGATGGGGTGTTTCAGCCAGTCATAGTTAATTTAATGGCTGGGGTTGAGAGAACCCCAGATTGAAAATGTAGTTCTAAACTTTTAGGTTGAGTTTGGCCTATAACCTGTTGTGTGACCTTGGGCCTCTGCATTGCCATCTGCAAAAGCTGCTGATTGAACTTGAATTTTTTTTAAAATTTGGTTTAGAAAATGGACTTAAAATTTTTTTTTAATGATGATTATTGGAGGATACAGGAATTAGAGAAAATCAAAAAGGAAGAAAACATCTCTTGTTTTCCTACAAATGAAGATTTTCAATATTTCAGTATATTTCCTTTATCTTGTTATGTATTTCTGACCCACATTGTTTCTAAAAGGATTTGAAATGACATTATAGGATATACTAAATGCATTTTTTTCGTAATTTAAGACTCGTTTAAGTTTTTTCAGCTGTTTTTATAGTAGATACCTCTTATGCAATTGTATTCCAGATGCCAGAATTTTATGATATTTTTGGTTATCTGAATCTTTTTTTTTTTTTTTTGGAGAGGTTTTTGATATAGGGCGCGTGCGCTCGCCAGACAGACAGAGACATAGAGACAGAAAGTGAGAAATCACCCCCCAGTGGGGATGGTCATGCCGCAGTCCCTTCTCCTCCATTCTCCTCTCGAGATCTTGGGCACGCACGCACACGCACCCGGCATGAGTTTTAAGCCACCAGGTCCGGGATGCAAACCGTGGTCGGCTACGTGGGAGTCCAGCGACATAGCCATTACGCTAACTGCTGGTTCCCGGTCATCTGAATCTTGAAGGTCTCCAACTCCACAGTTTGGTGATCAGAGGGCAGAGTAAATTTGGATTTAGAGACATGAAAGAACCACCTGCCAAGAAGTCAAGCTGAGCTTTCAACAACTTCTACTCAGATCGGATCAGGGGAGCATTATTTGGGGCCTGGGTTCTTGGCTTGGCTCTCCACTTGACTGCCGTGCCTCTGGCTGGGACTCAGACATTTTCTGGGTCTTAGAGCCTTCCTTTGAGAAATGTGTGGGCCTTCAGGAAAATGAGCATTTCCAATGATGGCACATCTTTTTTTTAATTTTTAAAAAATTATTTAATTTTATTTATTATTTAAAAAATAATCTTGGCCAGAGAGCGAGAGAGAGAGTGGGAAAGAGAGAGCAAGCTGCCAGGTCTGGGACTCGAACCTTGGTTGGCCATGTGAGAGTCTAGTACCTTAACTGCTGCACCAACTGCTGGCCCCTATGGTACATCTCTCATAAATTGTGTGATACTGTGTGTTTCAAGGTGACAGTGATATTTTGTTCCCATTTATAAAGTACCCACAATGTGTCCGGTACCTTGCTGGGTACTCTATATTCTTTAAAAATTTTTGCCAGAGTGGGTGTATACTCACCAAAGGGAGACAGAGAGAGAGGGAAAGCGAGAAAGCATCTCCTGTGGAGAACGGTCATGCTGCAATTTCTTCTCTTCCATCTCTCCCTCCTTTTGGGAGTTTGGGCATACATGCACATGTGTCTGGCGTAGTTTTCAAGCTGCTGTGTCTGAGAGTCCAACCATGTGGTTGGCCACGTGGGATCCAGCTGACGTAACCCCCAGGCCAGGGGTTGGCCAGTGTGTCTTGTTTACTTGCCAGTTGCTCTATGAAGTAGCTGCTGTCCTTTTACGGCTGCAGGGAGCGAGGCTTGGAGAGCTACCTGGCAGAAGCTCAGAATAGAGTCCAGGGTAGAGGACTTTGTGTCAAACCATATCTCCTCTATGTCATGTTTTCTCTCGTGCACTCGCCAGAAAGACAGAGACAGAGAGAAAGTGAGAAATCAACCCCCACCCCACCTGGGGGATGGCCACGCCGCAGTCCGTTCTCCTCCATTCTCCTCTCGGGATCTTGGGCATGCACATGCACCCGGCGTGAGTTTAAGCCACCGGGTCCAGGAGTGGAACCGCAGTCGACTACGTCGTGGGAGTCCAGCGACATAGCTATTATGTCAACTGCTGGTTCCCTCACTGAGCTTTTTTATAAAGCCAACTGGTACAGCCTCTTCCATTAGTACATTCTGCATTTTTGTTTGAAGTTCGTTTTTGTTTTTGTTTTTCTCTTTTTAATTGCCACAGGGTATGTGTATTTACCAGAGAGAAATGGGGGGCAGGGGCTAGAGTTGGGGGAGGAGAAAGAGAGAGAGAGAAAGCACCCTCTAGTGGGGCAGGATCACACCACAATAGTTTCTTCTCCATTTCTCCACCCTGTTGGGCTTGGGGCATACGCTCACTTGTGCTCAGCGTGTTTGGCAAACCACCTGGGCTGGGATTAAAACCATGGGCAGCCATGTGGGATTAGGTTCTCTTAACCATTAGCCATAGGGCCAGCTTTGTTTGACATTCTTAAAGCGTCTACTTGTTGCCCAGTTCCTAGAAGCTTAATTTTTGATCGTGTCAGGCATGTAGATGATACAATAACAATAAGAAGACATCAGTAGTTGCCATTTATTGGTCGCTGCATATGTGCTAAGTGTCCATATACCTTAATTTAATTTTTACCGGTAGAATATGGTATCCTCCGTAACAGTTTAAGAGTGTGATACCTATAAAAATAGGCGGCTTGTTCTTGGTACAATGCCTGTGCCTCTAGCACACATAGCACATGCGTGTGAACACAGACTGTGATATATTCATGATATGTTCATGAACGAATGAGTGCCCTTGCTGAAAGTCACTCAGATACTAAGTGTTAGAACTGGAACTCAGTTCTTCTTTTTTTCCATTTCTTCTTCTTCTTTTTTTAAATGTTTGCTATAGGGTGTGTATACTCACCAGAGAGAGAGACAGAGCTGAGAGGGGAGGGAAAGTGAGAAAGCACCCCCCAGGGGTCATGGCTATGCCAGAATGCCTTCTCTTCTACTCTCTTCTTGGGATTTTGGGCACACACGCACACACTCCCAGCCTCACACTCCCAGCTTGTTTTATAAGCCAAGTCTTGGACTCAAACCATGTCGTTGGTTATGTGGGATCCAGCCATCTTACTGTGCTCCCAGCTGGCCCCTTGGAACTCGGTTCTACAGCCCCGAGCCCTGTGCCTCATGCCCAGGTAGTGGAGCTGCGTGCCTGCTCCCCTTGGTGGAGTCGGTGGTGGTCACTGCAGCGGTCCTTGTTGTTCACATACTGGCTCACCTGTCATCTCTGTGTTCTCTCCTAGTGGACTTGTTCCCAACTTTCAAAATGACTTAGATGGCGTCAACCCCAGTGCTGGCTTGGGGAATGGGGGTAAGTACATAAAATAGGGATTCTCTTGGGTAAGAACAAGGTAAGTAGACACCAGATTTGAATGCCCTGAAGCTTAGGACTGGACTTCCATATCTGGAGCCCAGAGCTTAACTCTGGACGGGCACATAGTAGGTGCTCAGTATTTTATATACATGCTGATTTGCTCTCCATCTCCTTTCATAAATGCTGGATGGGAGGAGTTGATGCCCTTCTGGCCACACTCAGGAGTTTTCCTTCTTGCTACCAAGCCTGCAGGGCTTCAGCCAGTGTTCGCTGAACTAGATGACAGCATGAAGGCCGGGCACTGAATTGACCAGATCAGGCACAGGGTTCTGTTGGTCTCCACTGCTGAACAGCCGGAGGCCCAGGAGAGCTGCCATCTGGACCTCAGCGTGCCAAGGCCTTCCTGGCAGGCTGCTGGATTCCATGGGCCGGCTGGGGCCCAGCACTTTTACACAGGCCTGCCCCATGGAGACAAAGAGTTGGTTAGACCACAGGAGACGGCACTGAGTAAGTGGGCAGCATATTGTATGTAAGTCGAATTATGAGGAGACTTTACAGTTTGGGTCTTGCTAAGCATTCTTCATCATTTATTTCTGAAAAAAAATGGAATGCTCTCATAAACATTTCTGTGGGTAGTGTTGATAACTTGCCTTTAGTTTGTTAAGTAGCCTAGAGATACTTTTTCTTTTCCCCAAAGCGAAGAGATAAATGCAAAAAGAAGTTTTTAGAGCAGACAGGATAAGTGTTAGCAGGTTTATTCTGGAGAATAGCTTAATTTGTAAGCCATCCTTGGATTTCCCTTTGGAACTTGCTAACTTTTACTTTAACACAATCCAACAAGCTTGATTTTTACTCTTCCTGCCCTCCGACGGTAGGAACAGAAAATTGATAGGCCTTCTCTTTTTTTTTTTTTTTTAAGAGAGATTTTTGCTGTTAGGTGTATGCACACACCAGAGAGACAGACAAACAGAGAAACAGCAAGCAAGAAATCATCCCCTGGGGGGATGACCACGCTGCAATCCCCTCTCCTCCATTATCCTCTCAGGATCTTGGGCTTGCATACCCAGCGTGAGTTTTAAGCTGCTGGGTCTAGGACTTGAACCGTGGTTGATTACATGGGAGCCCAGCGACATAACTATTATGCTATCTACTGGTTTCAGTAGACCCACTCTTTAATTCAGCGGAGAGTATACATGCACTTCATGCCAGACTCTGGACTGAGCATGGAGATTCAGCCTTGAATGTGGTCACCGTCAAGCCGAGAAGGCAGACTCTTCAAAAAAATTATGATGATAAATTGTATGATCAGCATCAGGAGTTAAGAAATATGAGGTGCTGGGAGAGGGTTGAGGGGCAGATCTACTCCGCTGTGGAGGAGATGGATCAGGCAGGAGTTTCCCAAGAAACTGATATTGGAGGTGAGACTTGAAGCATGAGTAGGACCTACGAGGGGCAAGGGAAGACACAAGCCTCCCAGACACAGGAGACAGAGCACGGTCTGTCTGAGGAACCAGAAAACAAAACTTTGTACTCTTAGTCTGGCTCCCGGGCACTTCACAGTCTGCCCCGTCTACTCCCGAGCCGCTCTTCTGCTGAGTGGTTTCTGCCGCTGTGCCCGCTGTCTTCCGTGCCTTCGCCTGCGCTGTTTCTCCCTCCTCTTGTCCCTCTCATTTGTCTGGTGTCTGCCTCCTGCCTCTTTGACTCAGACCATAGCTCCCCTCCTTCTTTGGCTCTCCCCAGACTGACTTCTTGTGTGCTCTCCTCTCTGAACATTATATATTTCACTTCATTTCATTTAGTCCCATTGGCTACTTTTTTTTTTTAAGAGAGATTTTTCTTATAGGCTATGTGTGCTTGCCAGCCAGATAGAAAGATATAGAGAGAGACAGAGAAAGTGAGAAATCACCCCCTAGGGGGAATGGCCATGCTGCAGTCCCTTCTCCTCTAGTCTCCTTTTGGGATTTTGGGCACACACACACTCACTCCTGGCATGAGTTTTAAACCGCTGGGTCCAGGACTTGAACCGTTGTGGGCCATGTGGGAGTCCAGTGCCTTAACCACTATGCCAACTACTGTTCCCCTCCCCCTAATTGGCTCCTTTGACAATATCCAGAATCAGACCAGTTCTCACCCACTGTACTTCTACCATTCTGGTTCAACTATGATTTCTGGTCTGGTGTACCCCAGTCTCCTAAGCCCCTTGCAGCCTCTTCTTAGCAAAGCAGTCAGAAGGAGCCTGTAGAAACCCAAGTCTGATCACGAGGCTCGTTTTGAGTCCATAGAAGAGCCTGTAAGAGCATGTGCGTCTGTCCCAGAACCTCTCTTACCTCCTTTTCTTCCGTTCCCTTTGTTCACTGATCTCTAGCCCATAGGCCTTTTGGCCGTTTCTTGGATCCACTAGGCATGTTCTTTCTCAGGCATGTCCCTGTACCTGGAGTGTCCTTCCTCCACATAACTGCTACCTCCTCACCACGTTCTCCCAGCTGTCACTGCTGTGACCTTCCTTAGCCACCTCATGTAAAATGGCGGTCCTCACCCCACCTCTGGCATTTCCTATCCTTATCTGCTTTATTCCTCTCCATAGCGTTTATCACCTGATAGCATACGCTGTAATTGCTCTCTTATTTGGCTTATTGTCTGCCTCCTCTCTATAATATCAACTGTTTGTTTCGCTTCCTGATGTAGAAAGGTGCCTGCAGAGAGTAAGCTCTCAATGCACATCTGCTGGCAGAATGAATTCATTCATTGACTCAGCGCACATTTAATTCAAGTGCCAGGCGCTCTGCACCACGTGATGAAAGTTGTTTACATCTCTGTCTTGCCCACTTGATTGGGAACCTCTTGGCACAGGAGCAGTGTCTCCTTCACACTGTTTCCTCAGCACGCAGGATGGTGCTTGGCACAGAGCGGGTGTGTAATAAACGTTTGCTGAATTAAAAGATCTGTGGAGAGGTCTGGATATTGGCATAGTCTTTGCTTGCTCTGAAGCAGGGGTCAGCGGTTTTCAGCCCACTGCCTGCTTTTGAAAATAAACTTTTCCTGGAACACAGCTACCGTATTCATTTACGAATTTTCTGTGGCTGTTTTTGTGCTAGAGCAGAGGAGTTGGGTATTTGTGACAGATTTTAGGCTTTGTGTATGGCCTGCAAAGCCTAAAATGCTTGTTGTCTGACATTTTAAGAAAAAATTTGCTGGCCTAGCCCGTGGTGTGGTGGTGAAGGAACCCACATGGCCAGTTGTGCGGTTGGCATCCCGGACCCAGTGCCTTGAGAAACATGGCAGGTGCTTGTGTGTCTGTGCCTGAAATCCTGAGAAGAGAAATGGAGGAGAAAGGATTACGGCATGGCCATTCTCTTTTCACTTCCCCTTTCTTCTCTCTGTCTCTCTCTGGCGAGTGCACTCTTTTCACTTCCCCTTTCTTCTCTCTATCTCTCTCTGGCGAGTGCACATATCCTCTGGAAAAAATTAAAAAAAAAAAAGGAAAGGTTTGCCAGTCTCTGCTGTCAAATCAGTTAGAAATGTTTTGTTTTAATTATTGACATGTGACGATGACATTTTGCTCACCAAAATACTCTTAGGAAATAGGAAAGTACATATCAAGACGGTCTGCTTGGCTGCTTCCTCCAGGCATTTTCTGGGCACATCCTCTGACACGTACTTCATTAAATTGAGGTTAGTTTAAGTAATTTGTAAATACTTGAAATATAATGGTTTGGAGCTTTCCCTGGACTCAGATCAGTAGATTGCAGCAGACAGAAAGTGCCAGCAGGGTATGCTGTAGAAGCTTTTCATGTTTTTTCCTCTCCGGGCTCTGTTTCCTGACAGGAATGTTGGGCAATTTGCATGCTGTGAATTTTTCCTAAGTCTGTTTTACCTTTTTATAGTGCTCCCAAACGTGTCGGAAGAAATGGTGTCTCCCACCAGAGCACGGAACATGAAGGACTTTGAAAATGTAAGTGCAGATACCAAATTATGGTCCCTAGCAAATCTTGTGTGCTGCCACTGTCCAGACCCAGGAGAGAGCTATTCCTTAAGAACTAAGCTGGATAATGCCAGAGGTGGGGGCAGTGCCACGCCTCCCAGGCATCTTCTCTGAGACCATTTTATCCAAGGGCCAGAGATGAGTTGTTTCCGACTTTGGGGGATTTGGTGTATTTCTGGTGTCCTGCGGGTGAGGATGTTATTCTATTGCACACTTGAGGAGAACTAACACTTTTCAGGGGCCATATAACAGTGGAAGGCATATTATTTATGGTCCCTATTTAATTCTTGTTATTTATGTATTTATTTTAGTTGCCAGAGGGTATGTGTGCTCACCACAGAGAGACAGAGAAACAGAGAGAGAAAAGGAGAGGGGGGAAGTATCCCCTAGTGAGGCATGGTCATGCAGTACCTTCTCCATTTCTCCATCCTGTCAGTGGCGCATGCATACACACACCTGGACTGTTTTTCCAGCTGTGGGACTGGGGTTCAAACTGCGTTTGACAATGTGGGATCCAGCTTCTTTAACCACTAGGTATGAGGCCAACTCTGCCTTTTTTTTTTTTTTAATGATAGTGCATGAACATGAAAGAAAGAGATTAGAGAGCACCTTCAACAGAGTCTCATCCTGCCTTGACTCCCTCTCCCCAGCCCTCCAGCTCCTTAGGATCCTGGGTACCCATGTGGGCCCTGTATGTTTTCAGGCTGACTGGGATGGAGGGGGTTCTCAGCCTTGATGGGCCATGTGGCTTCCAGCACTGCAGTCCAGCACTCTACGAGCTAGATCATCTAGGTTGGGCCAGTCTTTGCTATTTTCATCCCAAATCCTCTAGGTATTTTGTATTGTCTCTGTTTTACAGAAGGAAACTTACAACTAGGAGAGACTGGTTTATGGTCATATAATATATAAGCAGCTGAGCTGGATTTTGAATCTAGGTTTTTAGTGATTACAGACCCATTTTTTGCACTGTATTGTGTCTCTCCTTGCATTTCATGGACTTTATCTTTGTTGCTTTTGAGTGAAATGTGAGTAGCCTGTACCCAGGACTGTGCAGTGATTGTCTGAGAATGGATTACTGGGTGATAGATTTGGCTTCACTGCTTAATGACTTCTAGCTTTGTGTCTTCCATTTGTTAGTGAAGGGGGTTTGTTGTCAAGTAACAGGAAAATAAGGTTATTCTCCCAATTCCAATTCTCCTTAACAAGTTACCTGTTCAGCACTCTCATTTGTCATGGAAGAATTAGACCCGTCTTCATTTGTAACCAAATGAAATCTATACTATGCAAGACACAGGAGATATTTATCAGAGAGAAGATGGAGGACACAGAGAGAAGGACGTTCCACAATTATGTTTCTCTCTCCCCAGTTGTCTTTACAGAACAGAGCGGTGCTGTCTCTGGATTTAATTTAGAATACTCATTACTGCTAATAGTTATCTGCAAACCACTAGTGACCAATTGAAGAAATGACTTGTCAGATCTCTAATGGAAACAAGTAATTTCTGAGCTTTGAGTTGTTATAATTTCAGCTGTACAACTCGATCTATGCTGTGGGGTCTGGGGCCTCAAACGAATGAGATTTGATTATTCCACATCGTGTATAATTAAAATATGCTCTACTATTAAATGGTTGTTCCTGTTTTATCATAAGAGTAATAATAGCTGCTGTTTATTGAGCTCTTGCCCCGAGCTGGGCACTTTTAGTGCTAAGCTCTTTGTATACATTACTTTAATATTAAAGTAGCTCTGCAAGATTGAGAGCAATTATTTCATTTCGAAGGGCACAATTTCAAATTTTATTTTTAGATGGGAAATTTAACAGACTCTTAGATTCTTTGTATTCTAGAATTCTTAGAAATCTTTAATGCTTTTTTAAGAGAGATTTTTGCTGTAGGGCACTTGCTCTCGCTGGAGAGACAGAGAGAGATAGAGAGACAAAGTGAGAAATCACCCCCGAGGGGATGGCCATGCCACAGTCCCTTCTCCTCCATTTTCTTCCTGGGAATTTGGGCACGCACACACACCTGATGTGAGTTTCAAGCCACCGAGTCTGGGACTTGAACTGCTGTTGACTGTGTTGGAGTCCAGGGACATAACCACTATGCCATCTGCTGGTCCCAGAAGTGTTTATTTTTATGTTTATTGAACAGGAAGCAATTGAAGAATTGAATCCAACCCTCTCTATTATATGATATATAGGAGAGTCTGAGGCCCAGGGATGTGACAATGCAAAGGCATTCCCAGAAGCAGTTTGTGCTGCCTAAGGAACATGGCTTTTAGAGCCAGACTGCTTGTTGTCCACTTCTACTCGGTGACCTTGGGCTAGCCACGTGACCTTCCTGTGCTTTCTTTAAAATGTCCTGTGCTGTCTTTAAAATGGGCGTGGTTGAGGGGGTCAGCAGATGGTGTCATGGTTACGTTGCTGGACTCCCACATGGCTAACCACAGTTTCGAGTCCCTGACCTGGTTTTTGAAACTCATTTTGGGCATGTGTGTGTATATGCCCAAAATCCTGGGAGGAGGAGGGGAGGGGAAGAGATTGTGGTGTGGCCATCCTCCTGGGGAGTGATTTCTTACTTTCCCTCTCACTGACTCTCTCTCTCTCTTTCTGGAGAGTGCACGTGCCCTAAGGCAAAAACCTCTCAAATGGGCATGGTAATAGTACCTACTTTAGTTGCCAGGGCTGTGAGGAAGACTAAATGAATGACTTGTGAAGCGCGTATGCCTGGCACCTTCTGTGTTTGCTATTTCTCCTTTCTGTTCTTGTTATATTTGTTCTTGTTGTTATTTGTTCTATTCTGCTATGTAATTCAAAGTTTCCCTTGCTCAGACATGTTCTTGGTAACCTAAATCCTGTTTTTCTTGAAGGCGAGGGAGATCCTTCTATGCCAATATGTTTTAGGGTTTATATTTTTTTCTTTATGACTATGGTCCTTTGGCTGCTGTTAGGTTTTTATGACATTCATATTTTTTATTGTAGTATTTTCAAGAGCAAACTCTGCTGCTGAAATTGAAATGGCCACACTGTTCTCAGTATTTCCTGTTCAGGTCTTTATAAGTCACTGAAATTCTTCATTTGGCCTGAACTATAGAATACCTGGATCTCTGTACAGTGGTGCCAGAACTTTCTGTGGGGTGCTTATAGGAAATGCTCTGGGCTCATAATGGTAATTTTAGAGTCAGCATGTTTTTTAAAGAGAGGGCCCAAATATTTTTGATTTAAAGAGGAAACTCATGCCTCTTTTTCTTGTCTCAGATGATTGATACCTGAACATTAGGAGTTCCATGTAGCTAAGAACTAGTGAGACATAGGTTCCCCTTCTGGTTCTGCTCAGAGTTTATCTGTTCACTGAGCATTTTCTTATGTATGTCCCTGTGCCAGGCTGTCTGCCAGGGGTTTGGGAGTCTGCAGTAGATTAAGACCAGGTAAGTCTCCCTATCAAGAAGCTCTGAGTGTAATTGGGACGGTGGGTAGGAGAATGGTGCGGTGGTAGAGGTGGGATCAGAGCCCTGCCTACTTCAGTGGCTTCACTTCTCTCAGGCCCTTGACACAGCCTCCTTCTGCCCAAGAGAACTCACGGTTCCCTGGCTTTGTCACACCCTGTCATGCCTCCCTCTACATTTGCACACGTGAGTCTTTGGGCCTGAGATGCGCTCCCGTCTCTTTCCACCTGGCCAATCTTTATTTGTCCCTGAAAACCCAACTCAGGCAACGCCCTCCAGGTTCAGAGCCCCTCCTCGGTGGCAGCACACCCGGCCTGTTGCTGTGTCTGGCCATCCTGTGTGCTCTGCCCTCTTCCTGAGACACCTTCCCTCCCTTCCCTTGGATGGTAGTCCCCAGACCTTCGCGGCACAGCTTTAATGTGACCTTGTTAGAGAGGCTGTCCGTAACTCCTGCCCCAGCTCATCACTGTCTCTCCTCGCAAGCACCCAGAGCCCCGTCCTTTCTCCCATTCTCCCAGACCTGACGAGTGCAGTCATGACCTTGCGTCCTTGCCTCACACGTCTCCTACTGTGCATCTAGGATTCGGCAGTGACCCTGACAAGATGGTAGGCACTTGTCAGTGTTGATTTAATGAATGTGACGTCGTATGAGGTATTGGATCTATAAGTTTTAGTTATTTTATCTATAAAATGGAAAAAATAATAGTTATCTCATGGGCTTGTGATAAGGATTAAATAACATGCTTGGGCAGTGCCCGGTCTTCGGCAAATGGGGTGCTGCTATCATTATCATTAAAAGTGCTGGAGGGGCCAGCAGGTGGCATAGTTGTTAAAGCTGTGGACTCCCACATAGCTGACCATGGTTCAAGTCCTGGACCTAGCAGCTTGAAAATAACACCAGGCATGTGTGCTTGAGTGCCCAAAATCTCAGGAGGAGAATGGAGGAGAAGGGATTGCCATGTGGCCATCCCCTCTGGGGGTGGGGTGTGATTACTCACTTTCCCTCTCAGTCTCTCTCTGTCTCTTTCCAGCAAGTGGATGCACCCTATGGCAAAAACCTTGGAAAAAAAAAAGTGGCTGGAGACATCATACCTAGAGGGAGACAGGGTTGAGGCATCCAGAGCCAGGGCCCTAGGAGAGTGAGCAGTACCGAGGGCCAGGTGAGGCAGAGTAGGAGAAGGAGGCTGAGTCTAGGACACGGCAGGGGAACACGAACCTTGCGGGCTGTGGGTCCTCGTAAGTAGATATGGCCATGTCTGTGGCGGCAGGGTGAGTGTCGTGGCCGCTCTCTGCAGGGCTCTGAAGCCTGGCTTTGCACATATGAGCACTTGGAATCAAGGGCGACTCGTGGTTGGTGGGAACATCTAGTCAGTGTTAGGTATCGGGGTTCTTCTGTACTTAGGGTGGCCACAGGCTCTTGAGTTCTTACACCTCCATGTCCTGGCCATGCCCTCCAAAACCCTGGCCAGATGGTGGGCTGGACAACATAAATTTTTACAGTCTTTTTGAAGGCCATTTAGAAAGAG